CAGGGGTCCAACTAACACATTATCAAGGAGCACACTGTAACTCTCTGCCCCAAAGTAATCCCCACCACAGAGACAAAAGAAATAAATCATATTGCCAGAAACTCAGATAAAGACTTGTTGGAGGCAGTTGCAGCTATCATTAACATCAGACAGATAGAAGTGAAGAGGGAAAGGGAGCAAGAGATATATGACGCACACACAGAGCGAAACGCAGGTTTACAGGAAATGGCAGATTACAGGGGCGGAGGTGAGGCTTCTGGTTATTCAGGTGGCCAGTCTTCAGCAGAGACAGGGACATCTCCAGAGCAAAGTCCCCCTCCCCCTTCTTCTTCTTCTCCTCCTCCCCCCCCCCCCCCCCTCCTCCTCCTCCTCCTCCGCTCAGTTTAGCACACACACCACGCCAATTCACAGCTAAGGAGATAGCGGCACTCGGGAAAAATGATCACAAGAAAGGCGTCACAGGCTGCGCAAGAGCAAGAGGTACATAATACAGCGCAGGAAGCACAACAAGCCGCAGCCGCCAGTGAAACACACAATGCCCCGAAAATCCTGATAGGAGAAGTCCCGGTATTTAAACCATGGACTCCCTCAGAGGTTATCGATGTCACAAGACACGCGCCCAACCCCACTAAAAGCCCAGATGAATATCTGTCATGGCTGACTAATGTGTGTATGGTCTATAACTGTTTGGTGCATGATGTTAAACAGCTGATCGTCCTCACATACAAAGCCGAATGGCCAACATGCAAAGACGAGTTTAAATTTCCAGTGTGCACAAACGCAGGAGATTGGCCTGTAACACAGTCCCTCACTCAGTGGCTAGAAACTGAAGGAGCTAGGGCTATCAAAGCTTGTGCTAAAACTCACACTGACTTTTCCCAAGTGATGGCTTGCATCCAGAGCCCTACAGAAACAGTGCCAGACTTTATCCAGAGATTCATAACGGTGTGGGACAACAATGCAGGCATTAAAAGAGAGATCAATGATTTGTTTGCAGTACAGAGCTTATTGCATAACCTTATCCCGGAGACAGCTCAAGCTTACATGTTAGCCACCCCCGATTGGCAGATGAAAACCTGGAAAGTTACTATTGCCACCATGCGGGCCCTACACAGAAGCCAGATTTTTCTGATTCCCCGAACGGCCCAGGTGCTGCAACAGGGAAGCACACAGGCTTATCAAGGTCAGAGTAACTACCAGCAGACTCAGGGACAAAACAGCACACCACAGTATCAGAACCAAGGACAGTCACAAGGTTATCAAAACAAGAACAGGCAGCAGCAAAACAGAAACCAAAAAAAACAAATGCACTGCCACGTATGCGGCAGCACTGAGCACTGGGCAGGGAAATGTCCTAAGAGGTGGGGGGCACAGCAGCACACACACAATTTGCCTGCTCTGCCCCCAACCCTGCAGCCCACACTGCCGCCTCCCCCACCTGTGTCCAGCAGCCACTTTCCACCCTATGACAGGCAGGACCAGCAGGGGCAGTATGCAGCAGCACAGGGTGGCTATAATGAACTATAGGGAGGCCATGGAGGAATAGGATCAATAACACAAAAATCCCCATTCAAGCAGCAACTATTCGCCTTTCCACTAACCCCCGCGAGGATCCAATGATGCCGGTTGAGGTTAATGGCACAACTGTTGACATTTTGGTTGACAGTGGTGCAACATTATCAGCTGTACGAACAAAAGAGAAGGTGTGTAAAGCAACTAACAGTTTTGTTACCACTGTAGGCGTTTCCGGCGTTCCAATAGCAGAGCCTATTTCAGAGAGAACTAATATTTCCGTTGATGGATCACGGGTGCAACACTCTTTCATTATCTCAGAGGGCAGCCCAATTAACCTGATGGGCAGAGACCTACTGTGTAAGCTACAAGCAACCATACATTGCACACCAGACGGGCTGTATTTGACAATACCAGACAGCAGAGTATATCAGGCTGTTCAATTCATACAATCATCTCTAAACAATATTTATTGTTGGACATTTCCAGATTTCCAAATGCTTTCCATTTTTTCCACAGAGGGAATTCAAAACATTGCTAGCATTTCCCCAGCATGCGCCTCTATGATGTCATCTATGAGGCCTGTGTTACATTGTCACTGCACAGCTGCATTTAACCCATCAAATGAGTATGCACTGTCAGTGAGGAGTTATTGCAATAGCTCAGATCGGTTGGAATGTGAACAGTTTCTATTTATAGGTCCACAGGGGTGCGCATTGCCTATTAGGCTCACACCCTTACAACAGGGCTTTTATGTTGTAGAAACTGCCCCACACGTCACACTAGCTGTCACTACAGGCAGTAGTCCTGAGGAGGTGGGGGTCATGGCAGCCCACTGCCAGGCCCGGCTAGAAGTTGCAACAGCTTCTCTGCCACGCACACACACACCTAATCTGATCAACCTAGGGGAGGAACATTACATGCTACGTCTCCCTAAGCCCATGTGTCTCCCCCAAAGCACATTTTCTCACTTTCAACCACCCCTCCCCACAGAGTATGGCCCCCCTTCAGATTTCTCAGAGGTCCCAGCCACCTTATGGGCCAAACACAAGAACCATGTGGGGTTTGTAAAGTCTGCACCCCCTCACAGAGTGACACTTAAAGCCAATGCCAGATTGCCAGCGATCAGACAGTACAACTTACCCCAAAAAGCCATTTTGGGCATTACAGGGGTAATAGAGTCGCTACTCGCTCAGGGGGTCCTGGTTTACACCTCCAGCCCCTGCAATACACCAATTTTGCCAATCCCAAAGCACAATCGCCCTGATGAGTGGCGTTTTGTCCAAGATTTGCAAGCTATTAATGCCATTGTCATTCCCACAGCACCCATTGTGCCTGACACCAATTCAATCCTTGCTTCTTTGCCTCCAGACAGCACATACTACACAGTCATTGATCTTTGTTCAGCATTTTTCTCTATACCTTTGCATCCAGAAAGCCAGTATCTGTTTGCGTTCACTTTCAAAGGTAAACAGATCACATACACGCGCCTCCCGCAGGGGTTTGTTGAATCACCCACTGTGTACGCCGCAGCTGTTAAAAGAGACCTGGACACTTTGGTCCTTACAGGGGGTAGCACCCTCCTTCAGTACGCTGATGACCTGTTGATAGCATCCCCTAACAAAGACGCCTGTCGCATCGACTCCATTCTGCTCATGAAAAGACTTTCTGAATGCGGACACAGAGCATCCCTGGCCAAGTTGCAATACTGCCAGACTGAGGTCACGTATTTGGGTCACATTCTGAGAGATGGACACCGCCTCCTCTCACCTGCGAGAGTCTGCCTTTTGAACAAAGTGCCACCACCGCACACAAAGAAGGAGATGCTTTCCTTCTTGGGTATGGCAAACTACTGCAGACATTGGATATACAAGTACGCTGCTATGGACTCCGTCCTGCGTGCTGCCACTCTGCAGGCCGCCCCGAACATTGTTCACTGGTCTGAGGACATGCACACAGCTTTTCAGGACCTAAAGCAGGCCCTCACATCGGCTCCGGCCCTGGGTCTCCCTGATTACCATCAACCTTTTCATCTACACGTCCATGAAAGGGGGGGCTTTGCAACGGGCATCTTGGTACAGAAGCATGGCTCTAATTTTCGGCCTGTGGCGTATTATTCGTCTCGACTTTCCCCTGTGGTACTTGGTATGCCTTCATGCCTGCGAGCAGTGGCTGCAGTTGCAATGGTTATCAAACAATCCTCGCCCATTGTACTGGCCAGTGACTGTGTAGTACATGTCCCACATGCAGTTTTGCATATTCTGAACACCTCTGCTACTCAGCATATGACAGCAGCAAGGCGCTCTGGTTATGAGGCGGTCATTCTTTCAAGCCCGCACATCACTCTCAGGCGCTCCCCTCCTCTGAACCCAGCCACACTGGTCCCAATACCAGACTTTGATCTAACACATGACTGCATCACAACCATTGATCTGTCTTCTTCGCCCAGAACTGATATGTTGCAAACTCCAATCCCAAATTCAGATATGATTCTGTACACAGACGGGTCTGCCTGCAGACCGTCTGACACATTACGCTTAGCTGGCTATGCTGTTGTGAACGACTGGGAAGTCTTAGAAAGCCGAGCGTTGCCCAATGGCACGTCGGCTCAGGCGGCAGAGTTGTATGCTCTACTTAGAGCGTGCATTTTGGCTAAAGATAAAGTTGCGACCATTTTCACAGACTCCAGGTATGCTTTCGGGGTATGCCACGATTTTGGAGTCCTGTGGAAAATGCGCGGTTTCTTAACATCGGCTGGTAAGCCTATTCAACATCATGCGTTAGTGGCTCAACTGTTAGACGCTATCTTGCTCCCTGCACAGCTAGCAGTAGTTAAATGTGCTGCTCACACAAATTCTGATGATCCTATTGCGCGCGGAAATGCGTTAGCCGACACAGCGGCTAAACAAGCGGCCATTTCCTCTTCCTCCATGGTGCTCCAATGTCCCTCCACACAACCTGCAGAACCCATTTGTTTGCCTTCCTTTAATGATGTCGCGGACATGCAAGCCCGCGCTGATGCTAGGGAGAAAGACTTATGGCTGCGCAGAAGTTGTACACTTGACGCAGAGTCCCGCTTGTGGCTCCACCCAGATGGCAGAATGGTCTGCCCCCGCTCGTTCCTCCATGTTTTGGCACATGTTGCTCATGGCTCTACACATGTAGGAAAAGGAGGGATGAATGGGATTATACAATCACAATGGTTTGCCCCAGGCATCACACTAGCGACACAGGCCCTAGTAGATAGATGCATGACATGCCAGCAGACAAGAAAGAAAAGTGGCCCAGTCCAACACGAACACTTGGTACCCCCGTCGGGGCCCTTTGTAAATATGCAAATCGACTTCTCACACATGCCACCATGCCAAGGTTGCAAGTATCTCTTGGTAATAGTGTGCCAGTTCTCCAAATGGGTAGAGGCCTACCCAACCAGAAAAGAAGACGCTAGAACAGTTGTAAAGTGTCTTCTCAAAGATGTTCTCCCTAGATTTGGTGTTCCAGCAGGGATTAACAGTGACAGAGGTCCAGCATTCGTCTCTAAGATAACCCAGAGTCTAGCTACAGTGTTAGGGTTCAGATGGCAGTTGCACGTTCCCTATCACCCACAGAGCTCAGGCCAGGTTGAGAGAATGAACTTGACCATAAAGGAGAAACTCACCAAGACAATGTTGACCACAGGATTGAAATGGGTAGATGCACTACCACTAGTCCTGTGTTCCATCAGAAACACACCGAATGCTACGACAGGGCTTAGCCCCCACGAAGTATTGATGGGAAGGGTAATGTCCACAGGGTCCAGTCCCCCAGTGACACCCCATAAGCTTACTCTGTTATGGACAGATGATTACATGACTAACTATGTAAAATATTTGACCGACATGTTGAGAAAGTTTCACAGACAGGTGGCTGACAGGCTCCCTCAACCTGGAGAGGAGCCAACCCACCCTTTTGAGATTGGTGATAATGTGCTAATCAAGTCTCTTGAAAAAGATGCTCTGTCTCCCAGGTGGAAAGGTCCTTTCCAGGTGTTAATAGTGACCAGAACAGCCCTAAAGGTTCAAGGCAGGACAGAGTGGATCCACGCTTCTCGATGCCGCCTGTCTCCTCCGCCGATCAGAGGGGAGGGTCAGGGTGCTGGCGTGTGATGAATGTCCTCATACTCCTTGGTCTGGGTCTACTATACCTGGCCAAGGAAACCCCGCCAGATGAGGCGGAACCAATCCCGATGACAGGTGGCGAGGGCTCTCGCCCCTCAGAAGGTGAATATAAGGTGCTCTTATCCAAGGGCGCAGGCAGTTTGGCTATCCAGGGCCCAGACCCTGAAGGCCAAACCACATCAACGGGCACACCATTGCCTAGCAACAAAATCAGGTTGTTTCCCACCATCACACAAACATTTAGAAAAAGAGGGAGAAAAAAGAGGAAAGTGGGCCCCGAGATAAGGCTACTCCCTCTCCCTGCTCTTGACATTCCTAAAACAGGATTACAGAATATTTCCTTTGAATGTCCGACTACACACTGTAACTCACACGACTGTGTTGTTGTGTTTCCTGTGTTTTCAAGCAAAGGCTTATGGGCGTGGAACGTCTATCCAGAGACGGGGTACCAGCGGTTCCAGGTCTCGCAGCGGATGGTAAGAATAACACTCAACACCATTGCAAATGTACCCCCAGAAATGTGGTGTTTCACTAAAGAACAGTTAAAGAATGATCCTATGTGTACCACATGGACACCCAATTACAGAGATCCCAGTACAGGGGTCACTAGATGCTCAAATATGGAACCAGGTCCAGCTGTAATTAAGTCACCAGGAAGTGATGTAGATTCTTTAAAGAGTGCCCATATCACTCCACCTAAACAAACTAAAACCCATTCTAATTCTGCAATAAATGTAATGATAGATTATGCACATGAACGCAATGTTAGCAACTGTTGGCTGTGCCAAAATATGCCAGAGTCCATGCACTCTCCCATGTTCAGCCCAATTCCTTTCACAAAACCTGACTACAGTTTAGTTAGCTGGAATGATATAGCATCCCGAATTAGCGATGAGACCGATGATTGTTACATCCCTTCTTACCCCATAGACTCCAAGCAACCTTTAAGGTACAAGGGCTTAATCTCGCTCATTGTTGACACAATAAATAAGGATTACCTACCAGACGGTTTCAAGCGAGTAATGCTCCTAAAAATTATATATGTGAAGAAGTACTTAAACCTAGTTTTTGAATACAGATTCCAATTAGCTCTAGTCCAGACTAATTGTTCAATTAACTATACGGGACCAACATGTTCACCTCAACCACACACACCATCTTTGTTGGTTGAAGCCTTAGTAACAGTGGTACCCTGGTTTGGGTCCCGAACAGTGGACTCAATTAAAGTTAAAATACATGACTGCTCGCTGCCATTACCCCTAGGTAAGTCCCCTACACGTGACTGTTCAGTTTATATTCCCCCAGTTGTGGTGCATGAGTGGAAGAATGTGTCTATCTGCTTTCAGAACGGAGGAGGGTTTCTACCCTCTCACGATGTGGGCCACAGCGACTGTAACACCGTAATAAAGGTCAAACTAACCAGAACTCCCCTCCCAGAGAGAGTTTACTTGGTCTGTGGAGACAGAGCCTACAGTTGCATGCCTTATGATACTTTTGATGGCACCTGTTATCTAGCCTATCTAATCCCTTTGATCCGTAAAGTAGAGACTGATGAGATTGCAGCAATACTCCCCTCCCTACACAGAAATCGTAGGACCATCACAACAGGTCAGCAGCTGGCTAGCGCTGTCCTGCCCTGGTACGGCATTTATGTTTCCCAGCAGGAAATCATAGCTCTCTCCAAAATAGTGGAAAACCACCTCAATGTATCCAACAGAGCCATGTTGGCTGAACACAAAGAACTGCAGGAAGTTAGAACAGTGGCATTACAGAATCGCATGGCACTGGATCTTCTGCTAGCAGCACAGGGGGGCACGTGCAAGGTGATTGGCTCTGAGTGTTGTTCTTTCATCTCTGATGCTACACCTGAGGTCATGGATATAGCTCATGATACTGCTAGGGGAATAAAAAAATTGCACGAAACTCATGGGTTTGCATTTGGGGATTTATCTGGAATATTTGGGTCATGGGGAGCGGGATTGGGTAAACTTGCCATTACCATTTCACTGTTTATCTTAGCTGTACTAATCCTGATAATGTGCCTAGTCACTGTTGTTAAACTAGTCATGCAAAAGGTTGTCAAAACCGCCCTCCAGGCCCCACAGACACTGGTGGGGTACGACACCATTGATGACACCGTGATGATGTACGACGTCGAGCTTCCCGACCCGTGGGTCTCTACCGTGGCACCCGAACCATGGGTTCCCCCTTACAATGAATGGCCAATGAATTAAAACTGATTAAAGTTGATTTTTTTCCTTTTCAGGTTGTTACACTACACAATACCTGTCTGACTTTTCCTTTTCAGATTTTGAATGTATTGATATTACTAAAATTAAGTGCCTGACTCTTAAGATAATCCTAACATTGAGGACACTGCAATTTTGCAGATCACAGATTGATCAAATCACCAGTGTGAATTCTATACTCTAACTGTGAACTTTTAGCAGGGTCTCTTACGATCCTGAGTTTTATTATGCTTTTGACTAGTGATTGCCTTGAAGTAAATCTTTAAAGCGGCAAGCTGGTTTTGATTTCATAGTTTGATGAATGAAATTAACTAATGGTAAATGATAAAAAAAATATTAGTTTAAAACAAATATTTAGCCATCGTGCACCTGTGTTTTATGTGTGTTCATTATTATGCTTTTGACAAAAGATGATCAAACACTGATGAGAGATGATTTTTCCTATTATGATTGGCTGTATCAATCATTGTGATTGAATGTTTCAATCTTATTCCACTTTGTGATATAATTGATGTAAGGTGAGACCACACTCGAACCTGGAGACGCCTATTGAGTTAATTATTGACCAAATTATTATTAGACTAATGTTTTTAGGTTATCATAAATGATAAAAAGAGAGGACTGTTATGGAAATAATTATCATAAGACGCCAATTAGTAACATACAGGACAAACCTCGATGTCTGTTTACCTTCTTTAAGGACACAGGCGGCTTAGCCAACAATGTTATTGTTCCCATTCTGTGACCGGTCAATACTGGGTCACAGATGGTCTGTGTTGTGGGTACACTGGGACACTTCCTTCTCTGTATTTGTGGACTCCAAGGTGAAATCTTCGAGGTCATAAGTGTCCGAGGCAGGTAGCTCTGTGTTCCCACACTGTTTAGGCTATCTCCTCAAATATGTTGTTTACTCTCTGCGAAACCAGTTAGATGGGCTGGCAAGAGAGAGGCTCTCCAGAATTGACGTGGCAACTCTACCGTGGAGTCAGAACCTCTGACTCTTGGATTTGTGATGTGAATACTCTGGTACCAACTCCAAATAAATCACAGTGGTTTGACATCAAAGCTCCGACTCTTCCCGTGTCTCCTTCCTGAGTCGGTGACTCCACTGCATGCTACACAGAAGTTTCCTCTACACTATCTACATACATCTTATAAGAGTATAATAAATATGTATAATATCGGTTAAAATAAGTGCTTCAACATAGTTAACATTGCAGGAAAGTTGATTGTCAAGTTCCAAAACAAACCATGCAATATATTAGACGTTAAGTACTTTGTCAGGCTTATGTATCTGTAGATACCCCCAAAGCTTTTTTCTTATTTAAAAGAAGACCTTAGCCTAAAGTATTATTTAATGTTTAAATAAAGCCTTATTAGTTTGTCTGTTTTGCACATCCTCCTATCAGGCACTAAACTGTTTTATTGTAGATATCACTTACAGTATCTTCTTGATATTTTCTATTCTATATTTATATCATTGACCTTCTACTTTCCCACTATTTTGTATGTACTCTTAATATTTAAATGTTTTCATCAAATATAACACATTCAAAAGTGCTTTACAAAAATGAAAGACATTAAGAAAAAGGCATTTTAAACAGTCATTAAAAAGCAACATAATCTACCTGCATTGCAATTACTCCAAACGTGTAATAACGTGCTTTAACCAGTAGGAGGTGCGGGTTAAAAAGCTGTCAAGTTTACAGTGTTAACAAAATAAAATATACTGCTGTTTCTGGTTTAGTTTACGACAGATATATTTTGTTATTGTTTTGATATTTGTAACACAAAAGCGATGGAAAACCCCACTGCAACACAGAAAATATGGTCTTAACATGACCCAGCGGTCTAGTAAAAAACAATAATATCAAAACAGATTATTACTACTAACTTTATTGTGAAATTAAAACAGAACGGTAAAAGAATAGTTTCCGATCTCTGTAGATAAATAAAGAACTACGATAGATGTGTAATATTTAATGCAGCCAAACCATTTATTACAATGCATTCATGTGATGACTTTCAAAGAGTAAAGCAAGCACTGCTGAATAAAGTATGATTTTATCTTTTACGAAACGTGTTTTTTCATATGGAATGCAGTTGGAGGTCAACCAATCACAGAGCTTGAGGACTGATCACGGGGTTTGTCAAGCTAAGCACATGGTGAAGTCCCAAACGATAGCTGAGGATTCTGGGTAGTGTAGTGTCTTCTGCCATCCAAAAACTCCGAAAAAATATTCGTTTCTCCGAATCGAAGGGCAAAAATACAAAAGCATTGTACACAATTTAAACCAATCAATGTTGTGTAATTAACAAGGATAATCTGGTGTTTTTGAGTTGATGAGTAGTTCAGATATCACTGTAAAATCAATCGACAGTAAGGAGAATACTTACTTCCGGGTGTAAAATTCTCCGTTATCCAATGGGAATGGACGCTCGTAATACAATAAAGGGGACATGATCATTATCTTTTAAATAACGTTAACTAAAGGGAACAATCTATTTGACACAGCTGAAGCTCTGGCCTTCCTTAAAAACTAACTAATTTAATAAAAATCACAGTTGTATTACACACAATGCACTGTTTTTTGAGAACAAAAATTCGTAACTAATGTAATTTTTACATTCTGACGAAAAATAAAAATTATTATGAATACAAATAAAATAAAAGAAGCCTCCCGTGAGTTACTACAAGCTATAAAGTAGATTTTAAAAATGTTTTATCGAATAAAAGCTCACTGCGGGACATTGTAGAAATGCGTGTGTGCACCACGACAAAAGAGCCTCATTCACTTTACATTGGGGTTTTTCGCGTGGTGCCGACACGTAAATGGAGCAGAATGCGTGACTCTACCACGCAATGCGGTGTTAAGGAGTCGTGGTGGAGTCACGCATTCTGGTGAGATCAGGTTGGCACAACACACTACACAAACGTGGAATTAATTTAGCCAAAGTTAGTACTTACTTATCATTGTTCCCTTCACGAGAGACAAGGGGGTGCCTCTGCTTTAAATGCTCCAACATAGCTAGTGTGGTATGCCAACTCCATTTGGCAAAGACTGCAAATAACAAAGCCTTTGCGTTTTGGACTAAATTTAAAGTATTCCCATGCTTTTGAAGACCTAGGGCGAGATGTTTTTGTTTGGGGGCTTTTTGCAGGGCTTCGTGCGCAATCCTGTGAGGAGGAGGTGGTAGCCATTTCAGTCTCCATTGTGTTTGAAGTGCGATTGCGAACTGCTTGTTGCTTTGGGTGACCCACGTGTGTGTGGCGATGCGTCGACGAGGAAATCTGTCGTCGACGAGATTTTGAAGTCGACGCGTCGACATCGTCGACGTGTCGCTACAGCACTACTTTACAGCCCGCCTGTCAGCAGAGAGAGTGAGGGGCTGTCAGGGCTTGCCTCGCTCATTTCCAGCCAAGCAAATATTTTCTCTTCAGATCATGGTTACTGGGGCTCATGGCGTCAGCCATCCTGGTGGTAAGATTGGGACGCTTACACATGAGGGAGTTTCAGCGCTGGGTAGCTGCCCTCAGACTGGACCCCGTGCGTCATGGCGCACGGAGAGTGATGGTCACTATGAAATACATAATGGCACTGCGCCACTGGCTGCACCCGACTTTTGGTCGACCTGTGAGGGGTCTCTGGAGCAGAGACCTCCAACGGTCACACATAAATTATCTGGAGCTTTTAGCGGCGTTCCTCACTCTGAAACGCTTTCTGCCTTTTCTCAGAGGACATCATGTCCTCGTGAGGACAGACAACACGACCACAATATCGTATATAAACCGCCAAGGGGGTTTGCGTTCTCTCCAGTTACACATGCTGGCACGCAAACTGATCTTATGGAGCTGCGGACGTCTCCTCTCTCTGAGAGCGACGCACGTACCAGGAGTGATGAACCTCGGGGCAGATCAGCTGTCCAGAGGTGCACCACTATATGCAGACTGGACTCTACATCCAAGGATTGTGAGTCAGCTGTGGGTGTGTTACGGCCGGGCCGTGGTGGATATGTTCGCATCAAAAGAAAATGCTCAATGTCAGCTGTTCTTTTCAATGGGCGATTTAAACGCACCGTTAGGCGTGGACGCGCTCGCGCACGTTTGGCTTCCGGTCCTTCTGTACGCGTTCCCACCCCTGGCTCTGATACCCCCAACTCTGGCCAGAGTGAGAGAACAACGCCACACACTGATCCTAATAGCTCCACACTGGCCTGCAATGTACTGGCTGGCGGAGATATATCAGCTGCTGTGCGGGCAGCCGTGGCAGCTCCCGCTACGCAGGGACATACTGTCTCAGGCGGGGGGGACGATTTTTCACCCACACCCAGAGTGCTTGGCACTATTACATTACATTTCATTTAGCTGACGCTTTTATCCAAAGCGACTTACAATTACCAATCACAGGGACATTCTCCCTGGAGTAACTAAGGACTAAGTGCCTTACTCAAGGGCACACTAGTGGTGGTGTTCCTGGCGGGATTTGAACTCACAACCTTCCGATCTTCAGCCCACCACTATCCTAATAGTATGGGCCTGGCCCGTGAGTGGTATAACCTGAATACAGTGGGGCTCCCTCAGAAGGTGATAAACACTATTCAGAGTGCAAGAGCTTCCTCCACCAGGTCCCTCTATGACTGTAAGTGGAGGGTGTTTGAGGAGTGGTGCCTTAAAAAAGAACACATCTCTTTTCAATGTCCTGTCGGGGTGATTCTATCATTTCTACAGGACCTGATTGATAAACACAGAGCTTTCTCTACGATCAAAGTGTACCTGGCTGCTATTGCTGCATGCCATGTGGGCTTTGAGGGAAAGACGGCTAGCCAACATCCCTTGGTCTGCCTTTTTATGAAAGGGGCTCGCAGGCTCCTCCCTGTTTCCAGGTCACTGGTGCCCTTATGGGACTTGGCAGTGGTTTTAGATGGGCTCACTCGACCTCCATTTGAACCCCTGGAAGAAGCTGACATGAAACACCTGTCACTGA